TATGGAACAACGGCGTTTCATACAACGGCGCTGAAGAAGTCAATAGACGAAACCGGTACGCCTTTAATGTAACTGTTTTAATAGTTTGATTCGTGGAGCCTGGAGGTTCATGTACTCTCGATACAGTAATCAGACTGTTTTCAAGAAACCTTCCACACTTTTGAATGCTGAAAAAAGCTCTCTCTCTCTCGCTCTCTCTGGACAGTGCCATTGCGGTGCTGCTAGGCAACAGTATACTGCCTCCTCTGGTGGATGGAGTGGGGTGCCAAAGCTCAGTTATACATGTACCTACATTTCACCATTAAACAATAGATACATACATAAGCGTAGGAACCATGGGTGCAAGGGTGCAGCTGCACCCACAATATTTCTCCAGTGGGTGCAGACAATGTATTCTGCACCCACAATAATCTGAACCAAAAACCCCTTCTTTCATCAACACTACTTCCCACGCAGCATGGCAAATTCAAGATATGTTGCCTACTATCCATCTTTCGAAGCACTTGCTACTGTGATGGTCTTCAAAACTTACATTTGTGCTGAAAAAGGGAAATGGAGCATGTGATTGAACACATACCGAACCGATGACCCACTGTCAAAATGTTTAGCCCGATATCTTCGAAAATGGCTAAGTTGGCCGCTTTTACTTTTTGCGGTAGTCAATATTGACAATATTAGCCCTCGCATGTGTGCAGCGTTTTCCAGCTTCTAATGTGTAGGGGGAGGGGGGTCGGTCGGACCCCCCTGCCGTTCGGCCCCTGATCGAGCTAGAGCTTTGCGGAAAAAAACGAGGGTGTTGCCCGTGACGAGAAGAAGCCGATGATACCCAATTTTAAGGTCCTAGGTCATTGGTTGACCTTCCAGGTCAGGTCAATATTCCAAAAGTCGGTAAAATCGGGACCTGCTAGAACTGCGTAAAGTGAAGCTGTTATCGGGTTTTTCGGGGTGCTGATCACGAATATCTGATGTTAGTTTTGATCACAGATGATTTAATGTTTATGTTTTTCGGAGTTGTTCAAGAGGATAAGTACAAATATTACATTTATTCAGATATTTCGGTACTCGTTGTGGTACCTTCATCGGTGAAATGGCGCACAAAGTTTCGGTTCGTAGTTCGACAATCACATACAATACAAAACACGCGACAACGTCATCTAAAAACCTACACTTTAAATATGCCTGAGAAGACCTAATTACCTAAACCTAAATTAGCACCAAGCATATTACAGGCAATTTACCAGATGTTGGTGACTTTTTTTTATAATAAAACTACAACTGTTGGGGACAAACTTGTAATCTAAGGTTCACAATGGGCGTAATTGTAGGACAAAATATACGAAAAACGATATGAGAAAAGGTGGCGGCCGCTGGGTAAATACTAGAGGTTCTATAAGCTAGCGGTTTGAAGACGACGATACTATGTATGCTGCGGGTCTAGGTTAAGAGAATGTCCCATATGGGGCTCAAACGGACGCCGCCCTCGTCAAGGTTCATAGTGGCCTGTGGCGTTAGCTTGACCTCTATGGCTTCTCGGACCTTGCGCCTCTTCCAGTGACCTTCAGTGGCTAGCGTCTTGGCGGTGAGTGGGTTCAAGTCACCCCTGCAGGTGCTGAAGTGTCTTGCTGTAGCAGACTTGTCCAGCCGTGCGTGCTTGATGTCCGCGACATGTTCTTTGAGTCGGACATCCTTTGGCCTTCCCGATTCGCCGATGTAGACTGAGCCACAGGAACAGGATATCTGGTAGACTACTCCTTTTTTCTTTTCGGGTTTGGGGGCGTCTTTGGCTTTGACTAGGCGGCTTCTTAGGCGGTTCGATGAGTGTGCCACTTGGATTCCAATGGGACGGAGGACTCATCGGAATCCAAGTGGCACACTCATCGAACCGCCTAAGAAGCCGCCTAGTCAAAGCCAAAGACGCCCCCAAACCCGAAAAGAAAAAAGGAGTAGTCTACCAGATATCCTGTTCCTGTGGCTCAGTCTACATCGGCGAATCGGGAAGGCCAAAGGATGTCCGACTCAAAGAACATGTCGCGGACATCAAGCACGCACGGCTGGACAAGTCTGCTACAGCAAGACACTTCAGCACCTGCAGGGGTGACTTGAACCCACTCACCGCCAAGACGCTAGCCACTGAAGGTCACTGGAAGAGGCGCAAGGTCCGAGAAGCCATAGAGGTCAAGCTAACGCCACAGGCCACTATGAACCTTGACGAGGGCGGCGTCCGTTTGAGCCCCATATGGGACATTCTCTTAACCTAGACCCGCAGCATACATAGTATCGTCGTCTTCAAACCGCTAGCTTATAGAACCTCTAGTATTTACCCAGCGGCCGCCACCTTTTCTCATATCGTTTTTCGTATATTTTGTCCTACAATTACGCCCATTGTGAACCTTAGATTACAAGTTTGTCCCCAACAGTTGTAGTTTTATTATAAAAAAAGTCACCAACATCTGGTAAATTGCCTGTAATATGCTTGGTGCTAATTTAGGTTTAGGTAATTAGGTCTTCTCAGGCATATTTAAAGTGTAGGTTTTTAGATGACGTTGTCGCGTGTTTTGTATTGTATGTGATTGTCGAACTACGAACCGAAACTTTGTGCGCCATTTCACCGATGAAGGTACCACAACGAGTACCGAAATATCTGAATAAATGTAATATTTGTACTTATCCTCTTGAACAACTCCGAAAAACATAAACATTAATTACATATAGTCCTGAGGAAAAGTTTTTTAATCATGACACTCAAGTCATATCTCACAGATGATTTCTTCATGCATTTAGGCCAGATCGGGTCAGGTCAGGTCAGGTCACCATTAGGCGTCCTACCGGCTATCCATAGTAGGTGTTAACTACCACTGACGGCGTCGTAGCATGTTACGAAGGCACTGAAACTACTTCGTAAACGTTCAAATGGATGCTAAATTCGAAATCAGCCCGATAAACTACCCTAGAAACATATAAAACTCGAAAAAGTGAACCGAGGTCCAAAGGTCAATGACCTGACCTGACCTTCAGGTGACCTTCACACCCACCGTGATGCCTGGGAAGAACATCATTTCACATATTTGGACGTCTACAATCACAAAAAGACTGGAAACGCGCGGATAATGTGAGCTGACATACGCCAAATCGCGATGCCGGCCGAACATGGTCTCGATAATCAGGTCACAGGTCAAAGGTCTTTTGGGTCAGGGTCATGAAATTTTGAGAGTAGGTGTAAAACTGATCAACTCGAGCGTACTAAAAGTTTCGTCGCGATCGGCCGCTTTTTGCGCGAGTTATTTGCGAACAACCATGGGGGGGGGGTGGGGGTCATCCGACCCCCCTACACATGCGAGTCAATGCTTCCAAATGCACTTATCGGTCGGTACCTTTTAGACATGGTACATCCTCAAAGCTCGTAACGAGCCTTCGCTCGGGTGTCGCTCCCTATCCCCCCCCCCCCCCCCGCTTCACCGGCCATGGCTGGATTTCTGCACCCATGCACCCACAATGTTCCAGCCGTTCCTACGCCCATGGATACATAGATATATCTTCTGCTATTTTTAGCATATGCAGCAGCTAAAAATAGCACTCCTAATAATATTTGGGGCTTCCTGAATCAGCAAATTTACAGCATTGTTCCTTAAAGTTTTTAGGCAAATGATAGGTTCATCTGAAATTGTGAGATTTGTAGTATAGAAATTGCATGCAAAATAGTGTGTTTCTGAGTGAAAGGTGAATGTTTGACCAGTTTCAAACAGTGCTTTTTACCGTACCCATTTTTAGCAGATTCGTACCCATTTTTGGCAGAATTCTGTTATAAATAGCAGACTGCTAAAAATGGCAGATTTTACCATAGTTTCCCCGACTGAGATGCGCCGCGTTTGTCGCAATGCGCCACATTTGCTACAATGCGCCATTTATGACAAATACGATTAAGCATAATGGATTCATCTTTCCTTAGATTAATGGAAATTACAGTGTATGAGCGGCCAGCCGCCCGTGGTCACTCTTTTGCGAGGCTTATATCTCAGCAACCACTTGACCGATTTACACGCTGTAATTTTTGTAGGGTAGCTTCTAGAGATGCCACAAATTTGCAATTTCATTACCTGCCCCGCCCTGCAGCTACCCCTTGCCCAACCACAACTACCCGCAAGCTGATTTTGGCTGAGCCAAATCCGCAAAAAACCCACAATTTTTAAAACCTGTTTTTGCAAGAATAAATAACGCTGGGTCAATGCTCAGGGGCTGAAAATTGTCATAATCCCAGGAGGTGCTTCTCTAGCATCTGCCGAATGGAAGCTTCAAATTCTTGGGTAGAAAAGCAAGTGTAGGTACGTTTTCCAAGCAGCATCACTCTCCTTGCGGCTTACGCAAAGCTTTTTGTGTCTCAGACGTATGTTAAGCACCCCTGGAGGACTATTGCATGGTGACTTTGGAATTTCAGGGGGTGCTCGAGAACCCCCAAAATCCCTAATTATTCACCCGCCAATGCTAGAGCTATATAAACCTTACTTGCTTCATTGCTCTTCAGAAAAAAGACATCAAACAAATAGTAAGGACTTGAAATTGCTATGCTTAGTCCTAAGGAAGTGCACACTGGATAGTGGAAAATGAATAATGCATCAATACATTTGAAATTCCGGTAAAAGTATACATTGAGTCCGAGTGACTGTCTAAAGATAAAGTTTTCATATTCTTACATTATTTGACATCCTGAATCCAAAAATGATACTTATATGTCCTGGAAATAAAAGGAAAACATAATCAAACCTGACCTAACAGCTAACCTTACCTATTTACCTACAAACCTACCAACCTAAAACCTAAAACCTACAAACCTACAACCTAACCTAACCTAAAACCTACAAACCTACAACCTAACCTAACCTAAAACCTAATTTTTTTGCTGTTACAGATTTGTATCAACAGCGTCACAATTGTCCACTCGGACCTAATATATACTAATACCGAAATTCCTTTCTGAAAAGAGTTCAATAAAATCTTTCTCTCACCTTACCCTTCAACATTTGCTGAGGATCAAAATTTCACTCTGGTTCCCTCTCAACGTGAGGCTTGGGCTTCTGGAATTATATTGTTATCAAAATGAATGTTGATATAAAAAGATGTGCGATTTCCAGTTGAAAATAAATAGTGACTAGGTGAATAACGAGTATCCAGTCGATCTACCTTCTACACATAAAACAAATCATGCAAAATCCCAGCGGCAGAAACCAACTAACCACCACCCAGGGCAGTTGGGGAAACTACGAGGCGAATGTCAAAAAATGGATTGGTCAATAAATACGTCTGTCAAACTAGCAGCGAGCAGCGAGCAGCGAGTCCAGCAGCGAGAAACGGGCCATCCCGATTTAGCTGAAATTTGGCTCACAGAGCCTTCTCAGCACGCTGATTCCGAAAATCATGGTCTCCAGGGTGGAAATATTGACCGTTCTCGAGATAGAACCCTCTAAAGTTCTTACCACCCATGACCGGGCCATCCCGATTTGGCTGAAAATTGGTTCACAGAGCCTTCTCAGCACGCTGATTCCGAAAATCATGGTCTCTAGGGTGGAAATATTGACCGTTCTCGAGATAGAACACTCGCAGCGAGTCCAGCAGCGAGAAACGGGCCATCCCGATTTGGCTGAAATTTGGCTCACAGAGCCTTCTCAGCACGCTGATTCCGAAAATCATGGTCTCTAGGGTGGAAATATTGACCGTTCTCGAGATAGAACCCTCTAAAGTTCTTACCACCCATGACCGGGCCATCCCGATTTGGCTGAAAATTGGCTCACAGAGCCTTCTCAGCACGCTGATTCCGAAAATCATGGTCTCTAGGGTGGAAATATTGACCGTTCTCGAGATAGAACCCTCTAAAGTTCTTACCACCCATGACCGGGCCATCCCGATTTGGCTGAAAATTGGCTCACAGAGGCTTCTCAGCACGGTGATTCCGAAAATCATGGTCTCAAGGGTGGAAATATTGACCGTTCTCGAGGTAGAACCCTCTAAAGTTCTTACCAGCCATGACCGGGCCATCCCGATTTGGCTGAAAATTGGCTCACAGAGCCTTCTCAGCACGCTGATTCCGAAAATCATGGTCTCTAGGGTGGAAATATTGACCGTTCTCGAGATAGAACCCTCGCAGCGAGTCCATTAGCGAGAAACGGGCCATCCCGATTTAGCTGAAATTTGGCTCACAGAGCTTTCTCAGCACGCTGATTCCGAAAATCATGGTCTCTAGGGTGGAAATATTGACCGTTCTCGAGATAGAACCCTCTAAAGTTCTTACCACCCATGACCGGGCCATCCCGATTTTGCTTAAAATTGGCTCACAGAGCCTTCTCAGCACGCTGATTCCGAAAATCATGGTCTCTAGGGTGGAAATATTGAGGGTTCTATCTCGAGAACGGTCAATATTTCCACCCTAGAGACCATGATTTTCGGAATCAGCGTGCTGAGAAGCCTCTGTGAGCCAATTTTCAGCCAAATCGGGATGGCCCGGTCATGGGTGGTAAGAACTTAAGAGGGTTCTATCTCGAGAACGGTCAATATTTCCATCCTTGAGACCATGATTTTCGGAATCACCGTGCTGAGAAGGCTCTGTGAGCCAATTTTCAGCCAAATCGGGATGGCCCGGTCATGGGTGGTAAGAACTTTAGAGGGTTCTATCTCGAGAACGGTCAATATTTCCACCCTAGAGACCATGATTTTCGGAATCAGCGTGCTGAGAAGGCTCTGTGAGCCAATTTTCAGCCAAATCGGGATGGCCCGGTCATGGATGGTAAGAACTTTAGAGGGTTCTATCTCGAGAATGGTCAATATTTCCGCCCTAGAGACCATTATTTTCGGAATCAGCGTGCTGAGAAGGCTCTGTGAGCCAATTTTCAGCCAAATCGGGATGGCCCGGTCATGGATGGTAAGAACTTTAGAGGGTTCTATCTCGAGAACGGTCAATATTTCCACCCTAGAGACCATGATTTTCGGAATCAGCGTGCTGAGAAGGCTCTGTGAGCCAAATTTCAGCTAAATCGGGATGGCCCGTTTCTCGCTGCTGGACTCGCTGCGAGGGTTCTATCTCGAGAACGGTCAATATTTCCACCCTAGAGACCATGATTTTCGGAATCAGGGTGCTGAGAAGGCTCTGTGAGCCAATTTTCAGCCAAATCGGGATGGCCCGGTCATGGGTGGTAAGAACTTTAGAGGGTTCTATCTCGAGAACGGTCAATATTTCCACCCTAAAGACCATGTTTTTCGGAATCAGCGTGCTGAGAAGGCTCTGTGAGCCAATTTTCAGCCAAATCGGGATGGCCCGGTCATGGGTGGTAAGAACTTTAGAGGGTTCTATCTCGAGAACGGTCAATATTTCCACCCTAGAGACCATGATTTTCGGAATCAGCGTGCTGAGAAGGCTCTGTGAGCCAAATTTCAGCTAAATCGGGATGGCCCGTTTCTCGCTGCTGGACTCGCTGCGAGGGTTCTATCTCGAGAACGGTCAATATTTCCACCCTAGAGACCATGATTTTCGGAATCAGCGTGCTGAGAAGGCTCTGTGAGCCAATTTTCAGCCAAATCGGGATGGCCCGGTCATGGATGGTAAAAACTATAGAGGGTTCTATCTCGAGAACGGTCAATATTTCCACCCTAGAGACCATGATTTTCGGAATCAGCGTGCTGAGAAGGCTCTGTGAGCCAATTTTCAGCCAAATCGGGATGGCCCGGTCATGGATGGTAAGAACTTTAGAGGGTTCTATCTCGAGAACGGTCAATATTTCCACCCTAGAGACCATGATTTTCGGAATCAGCGTGCTGAGAAGGCTCTGTGAGCCAATTTTCAGCCAAATCGGGATGGCCCGGCCATGGATGGTAAGAACTTTAGAGGGTTCTATCTCGAGAACGGTCAATATTTCCACCCTAGAGACCATGATTTTCGGAATCAGCGTGCTGAGAAGGCTCTGTGTGCCAAATTTCAGCTAAATCGGGATGGCCCGTTTCTCGCTGCTGGACTCGCTGCTCGCTGCTCGCTGCTAGTTTGACAGACGTTCAATAAATGGACTTTTGATGACCATATATGGGCATAAATGCAGCCCCCGCTACTAAGGGTGAAAAACGGTATAACAAGCCGGTACTTGCGGTATCGCGTCCACTTATTGGAGAGAAAAGGCTTCCATTTTTCACTAGGAATTAGTGTGATTTGATTAAATTCGGTCAAAAATGGCGATAGGAAAACGGCTTTTCTGCAGGTTCTGGGCGTCACAATCAGCTGGCCATTCAATAAATGGATTGGTTTTATGAAAGAAAATTGTTAAAAGATTTAATTTAATTACAATAAACAAAAATATTTAATTCTAAAATAATAACTTAACTACAATTAGAAAAACCATAAACAAAATAATAAAAATAGTGGCATTTTTAAACCACGGTACTGCTTACATTTCTTGGCGCGTCTGTTTCAATCCGCCATATTTGCCAATCACGGTTTGACCTTGCGTTGTAACTCTGCGATTTAGAGCCGCCAGTTAATTATGCACCGGGTGAGTGTAGGTCTTGTGTGGTTAAAAAAACATTATTATGCCTTATTTTTTCATTTGAATGCTGAAATTCATTGAAAACATGAAGTTGTCTGATTTTATGACCATATATGGTCATCGCCCCGCCCACTCCAGCCGCTGATTGGCTAATCCAATTTTTGTTTGGCTCCTCGTAGTTTCCCCAACTGAGGGGGTACGCTCCACGTCCATCAATTGAGCAACAGATTGATATTCGCGAATATCAAACTAAAAATTCGATATTCGGACGGGGAACGCAATAACTCAAGAACCAGTGAACCGATTTTGATGAAAAGACCCTCATCCGATTCCTCGTTCCTTATTGCAGGTTGTCAGCGATTTCCAGGTCACTAGGTCATGACTTTCAAGGTCAAGGTCAAGGTCAAAGGACGGGGAACGCTCTACAGCCTAAAGTTACCGTCCGATTGGCTTGTAAATGGTCTCAATCGATTCCTTGACCCCGATTCCAGGTTGACAGCGATTTCCAGGTCACTAGGTCATGACCTTCAAGGTCAAGGTCAAGGTCAAAGGACGGGGAACGCTCTACAGCCTAAAGTTACCGTCCGATTGGCTTGTAAATGGTCTCAATCGATTCCCCGACCCCGATTCCAGGTTGATAGCGATTTCTAGGTCACTAGGTCATGACCTTCAAGGTCATTTTCATTAAAGGGTCCCTCCCACCTTCAAAAAAGTTAATGAATTGGCATGAAAGTGATGTCGCTCGGTTCAGAAAGAGCAAAAACGAATATCTACCAAATTTCATCGAAAAATATTCACCGGTTTTCAAGATATTAGACTTTTACTTTTGTTTACTTTTTGGGATCTCCGCTGCTCCTAGCGACTTTATTTGAAAGTGCGGCATTTGTTGCGCGCAAAGCAGCATATACCACCGCGTGCTACAAAACGTTTTAGTCAAACATTTAACGGACGTTCGAAAGCCTGATGACGTCATCAGATTCCCGTAATGGTTAAGAGATAGGGACCACGCTGGTCCCACCCTGCAAGTAAAGGGAAGAATATATATTACTGACCGGGCCGACGAAATTATTTGGAAACGAGGTTTGCAAAATTGACGGAGGCCCGAGTGCGGAGCACGAGGGCCGGAGTCAAATTTTGCAAGCCGAGTTTCCAAATAATTTCGTACGGCTGAGGTCAGTAAGATTTTTCCTACATGCCGGGGTATGTCATAAGCACAGCACGAGCCGGGCAGTAAAACTATGACCAAGAAACTGTCGGTGTCAAAATGCCATGTTATTTGATAGGCCGGGCAGTAAACAAAAGTTTACTGCCCGGGTTTACTGCCCAGGGCAATGACCTCTGAACTATTGTTTATCGCATTAGCCCAGAGGTATAATTGACAGGGAGTGTATAATTGACATCATTATTGCATGATATTTGCCTCTTAAAATTAGAAAACTGACCTTTTTGGTAAACAATATCTGCTCTGCTCATCAAGGGTTTTGAAATATTTTTGTTCAAAAGTTTGTAGCCCTTTCCTCGAAAAAAAAACATGTAAAATATGTTAAATATAATGTATTTCACGAAGTTTAGCCATAGGGCATCAACAAAGCACGATTACATGAATAAAGGAAAGATTCTTGCAAGAGCACTGGAAAATTCACGTTTAATCACTAGAAATATTATACTTTCTTCTTGTTCTTATGTCGTGGCAAATCATTCATGTATTATGTTCCTTGCC